AGGAAAAATAGCCCCAGCCTATTCAGCCTCTCCCTATGGCTCACACCCTCCAATCCTGGCAACATCCTTGTAAATCTTTTCTGAACCTTTTTAAGGTTCACATCTCCCCATAGCTGGGAACATATGTAAATATATTTTTCAATATCTTTTCTTTCTTATTGTATCTATGACATTGCTCGTACACTTTAACAATGAGGACACTTTCCAGACAGTTTTTGCTCTAAAGGTAGCTCTGACAGTGTAAAGTTCTGGACTGAGAATGTTATATGTGCACTGATATGAGAGAGACTCTTGCATGGTGGCATAAAAAGAAATTCATAAAATTGTATTACCCTGTATAATTTGTGTTTTGCTGAAATCAGTGTGAATGGAGTTAAAACCATTTCTGGCATAAATCACCACTGACATTGTTCCAGAAAATTGCCTCCAGCACTTCTTTCTAAGAACATTGCAGCAAGATTTGAGATAACAAGGTGCAGGGCTGGATGAACACAGCAGGCCAAGCAGCATCATAGGAGCAGAAAGGCTGACATTTCGGGCCTAGACCCTTCTTCAGAAATGGGGGAGGGGAAGGGGGTTCTGAAATAAATAGGGAGAGAGTGGGAGGCGGATAGAAGATGGATAGAGGAAAAGGTAGATGGAGAGGAAACAGACAGGTCAAAAAGGCGGGGATGGAGCCAGTAAAGGGGAGTGTAGGTGGGGAGGTAGGGAGGAGATAGGTCAGTCCAGGGAGGACGGACAGGTCAAGGGGGCGGGATGAGGTGGGTGGGTAGGGGGGGGGGGGGGGGCTGGAGGGGGGGGGAGGGGATAGGTGGGAGGACAGGTTAGGGAGGCGGGGATGAGCTGGGCTGGTTTTGGGATGCAGTAGGGGGAGGGGAGATTTTGAAGCTTGCGAAATCCACATTGATACCATTGGGCTGCAGGGTTCCCAAGCGGAACACGAGTTGCTGTTTCTGCAACCTTCGGGTAGCATCGTTGTGGCACTGCAGGAGGCCCAGGATGGACATGTCGTCTGAGGAATGGGAGGGGGAGTTGAAATGGTTCGCAACTGGGAGGTGCAGTTGTTTATTGCGAACCGAGCGTAGGTGTTCTGCAAAGCGGTCCCCGAGTCTCCGCTTGGTTTCCCCGATGTAGAGGAGGCCACACTGGGTACAGCGGATGCAGTTTACCACATTGGCAGATGTGCAGGTGAACATCTGCTTGATGTGGAAAGTCTTCTTGGGGTCTGGGATGGGGATGAGGGAGGAGGTGTGGGGGCAGGTGTAGCACTTCCTGCGGTTACAGGGAAAAGTGCCGGGCGTGGTGGGGCTGGAGGAGAGTGTGGAGCGGACAAGGGAGTCACGGAGAGAGTGGTCCCTCCGGAAAGCAGATAAGGGTGGGGAGGGAAAAATATCTTTGGTGGTGGGGTCAGATTGCAGATGGTGGAAATGTCGGAGGATGATGCGTTGGATCCGGAGGTTGGTGGGGTGGTACGTGAGGACGAGGGGGATTCTTTTTTGATTGTTATTGCGGGGACGGAGTGTGAGGGATGAGTTGCGGGAAATGCGGGAGATACGGTTGAGGGCGTTCTCGACCACTGAGGGGGGAAAGTTGCGGTCCTTGAAAAATGAGGACGTCTGAGATGTATGGGAGTGGAAGGCCTCATCCTGGGAGCAGATGCAGCGGAGGCGAAGGAATTGGGAATAGGGGATGGCATTTTTGCTGGAAGAAGTGTATTCTAGGTAGCTGTGGGAGTCGGTGGGCTTGAAATGGATATCAGTTTCTAGGTGGTTGCCTGAGATGGAGACAGAGAGATCCAGGAAGGAGAGGGAGGTATTAGAGATGGTCCAGGTGAACTTGAGGTTGGGGTGGAAGGTGTTGGTGAAGTGGATGAACTGTTCGAGCTCCTCGTGGGAACACGAGGCGGTGCCAATACAGTCATCAATGTGATGGAGGAAGAGATGGGGTTTAGGGCCGGTGTAGCTTTGGAAGAGGGATTGTTCCACGTAACCTACAAAGAGGCAGGCATAGCTTGGGCCCATGCGGGTACCCATGGCCACCCCCTTTGTCTGTAGGAAGTGGGAGGAATTGAAAGAGAAGTTGTTGAGGGTGAGGACGAGTTCGGCTAAGCGGATGAGGGTGTCAGTGGAGGGGGACTGGTTGGGCCTGCGGGACAGGAAGAAGCAGAGGGCCTTTAGGCCATCTGTATGGGGAATGCAGGTGTATAGGGACTGGACGTCCATGGTAAAGATGAGGTGTTGGGGACCGGAGAATTGGAAGTTTTGGAGGAGGTGGAGGGCGTGGGTGGTGTCACAGACGTAGGTGGGGAGTTCCTGGACCAAGGGGGAGAAAATGGAGTCAAGATAAGTGGAGATGAGTTTGGTGGGGCAGGAGCAGGCGGAGACAATGGGTCGACCAGGGTAGTCAGGTTTGTGGATTTTGGGAAGGAGATAGAAGCGGGCGGTGCAGGGTCGGGGAACGATGAGGTTATAGGCCGTGGGTGGGAGGTCACCTGAGGTGATGAGGTTGTGGATGGTTTGGGAAATGATGGTTTGGTGCTCGGGGGTGGGGTCTACACCTTGTTATGGCAGATTTTCCAGCATCTGCAGTTCCTACTATCTCTGCAGCAAGATTTGTTTATTTGCTTTCCCAGCAAACATTCCGACTGTAACCACTAAATCTGTGCACAAGAGGTCATGGAAAAACCTAGAGATGCAATTGCTCTGACTGAATAAAACGAAGATCGTGGTTAAACTGTTCCCTGCAAGAGAGAGGCAGCACACTGTCAGTGCTGGAAATTTGAAATGCAAACAGACAATACGAGAAGCATTGGGCAGGTCAGGCAGACAAGAAAGTTATCAATTTGAAGCACCAACTCTTGTTTCTGTCTCCAAAGTTGCTGTCCGACCAGCTAAAATATTTCCAGCTTTGTCTGTTTTTATCCCTACAATGCGCAGGCTGTGAACAACGCAGTACTGACACGCAATTAGTTTGTCTAACGCATGGGCTGTTTGGGTAGCAGGATGGGATGGAGTTCAACTCAAACCTTCAGCTCTTTTTGTCAACCATGTTGCGATAGAGGCTAGAATATAAAGGCAGGTCGGTGTCCAGTTTCCTATCACACCTCTGAGTGAGTACCTGGGAGCACATTACTGGAGGAATATGGTTGCACTGGAGAGGGTGCAGAGGCGAATTACCAGGAGATTGCCGAGCTGGAGATTCTCAGTTATGAAGAGAGACTGGAGAGTTTTTTTCCTCAGAGCAGAGGAGATTGAGAGGGACATGACTGAGATGTATAAACTTATGACGGGCATAGATACAGTAGACAAGAAGAGGCTGTTCCTCTTGATGGAGAGGACAGGTTTAAGGTAAGGGGCAGAAAGTTTAGAGGAGATGTCAGAAAAATAATTTTCACCCAGAATGTGGTGGGTGTCTGGAACTTACAGCCTGTAAGGGTGGTAGAGGCAGAAAAGCTCTTAACATGGAAGAAGTATTTAGATGTGCTCTTGTGCAATATAATGGGCTAAGTGCTTGTAAATGCAATTAAAATAGTTGGACGTTTTTGACAGGTGTGGACCCTACAGCCTTAGATCTCAGCGGGGCTAGGATTCAGGTCAAATGCCCATTCTTCCAATTCAATTAATTAGTCACAATCAGATTAAGATAGAAGCAGAAATATCATAAACAAACTTTAAAATATATTTATGATATTTCTGCTTCTATCTTAAAAATATATTTACTTTAAAGATACCCCATCAAAATGGAGAAATTTGTTTTCCAGGGACAGTGAGGATGTTTCAAAATAATTGTGATGCTGCATCACTGATCAAAACACAGTTTCTTGTTGTTTGATTTGGTATAATTTTTTTCAAGGGTTTTTACAGTGTGATTAACAATGGGTAAAGTGGGCCTTTCTGTCCTTTCGCTGATTGCTTGTTTTAGGGATTGCCGTAAGGAGGGACCTGAACAGTACACTCTCAGGACATACACAGAATTAATGAATGATGCAAAGTTCTGGATTTCCATGTTACTCTGCGCATGTGTGGACTCCCATAGTCACTATCAGTTTTAGCGCAGGAATGACAATGAACATTGCTCGTTTATCCTCCTGTACAATTGCAAAATCCATGCTATTGAAATCAGTTGACCAGGTTGTTTCCCTTTGTTGGCTAGTGTGGAACCAGAGGGCATAATCTCTGATTAAGGGGTTGGATGTTTAAAACAGATGAAGAGGAATTTCTTCTCTCTGAGAATAGTCAATCTTGAGAATTCTTTACCACAGAAGGCTGTTTTTTTTCAGTCTGGAGCCTCTGGGCAAGTTAAGCCCCTAATAACCAAATATGCTGCAGATCCACAAGCAGTCAGATGAATTACTCATTGCTTTACACCTGTTCCAATGTCATTTGCCCAGAAAAAAAATCACATTCTTTCCGCATACTGGGTCCAGTCTTCAGTGGCAGGATCACAGTGGGCTGTTAAGGCTGGGTAGTTAAGAATATTCAAGGTTGAGATAGAGTGACTTTTAATCAGTAAGGGAATCAAGGGTTACAGGGAAAAGGCAGGAGAGTGGAATTATGGATTATCAGATCAGCCATGATCTCATTGAATGGCAGAATGAACTCAATGAGCCAAATGGCCTACTTGCGCTCCTACATCTTATGGTCTTCTTGGGTAGTGCATTCTGGATGAAAACAACTATGTTACCCAGTCCAAATGAAAAGGAGAATAATTATGGAAAATAAGAACAGGAAATGATTCACGGTTGCTATCTTCTCTATTTTTAAACTAAAAGGACACTTCAAGTTTGGGACCAGCTTGGTTGCACTGTACTGAGGTTGGGAAGATCTGAAGCTCGGTATGTGGTCTGTCAATTCACTTTGAGGTAATATTGACCATGGCAATTGCAAGTACTGAACAGCTGGCCAAAAGTTACAAGACAAAACTCTCAGGAAACTGAACACTGGGGTTCTGAACATACTTGACTACAATGGAGCAGGGGGATTTGGGAATGCACCAGGTACCTTTGCAATGTCTTCCTGGAAGGCCATGAAGTTGAGATAGGAAATATTGACCAAATCCGGTCCATAAACCACGGTGACCATCCTGCTCTCCAGGCGACTTCCTTGATTTCCAACATCCAACAACTCTCGGAGCTTGGCATCCTGTGTAAGAAGAAATAAAGTGAACGGTTAACCCAATGCATCTCCTTCACTCCATTTTCAGAAAATCATTATTCAGAAGCAGATAGGGATGTTCAAAATTGTCGTCCTGCAAACTTTGTTTTAACCGGCACTCTTGACAAACTGGCAAAACGTTATATACCTCAAATACCGCAAAGTTTACTGTATTATTCTGTCCAATTATTATAGTTTTTACATTTATTTATCTCAACGTAAAAATAGTTATTTCATGTGGCCATTCGATTGAACATTCACAGCTGATTCAATTTCACGTCAATTTCTCCCCAAAACCATGATCTACCATGATGTCTGAGCAATCATTTCAGGGTATGAGTGAGAAAACTCTCTCACAGTAAGTTTTATTTCAGGCAAAGTTGCATTACTATTTAAGTGATTTATGCTATAAATAAAGTATAACAGTGATGTATAATCCCTGCATTTTTTTTTATTACTTCATGAGTGTTTTTACAATGATTCTGTGGATGTCTTGATTATCCGGAATATTTGATCAAACAGCACACTCCTGGCCCCATTGGTGCCAATTAGTAAAAGGTTTCCTGAATCATTTACAGGGCCTTAACTTATCATCTTAATATAGGCACATGTTTCTTAAAATTCATTGAAGTCTATTCCTCAAAAGAAAACCTCATCTTTTTCTGCTTATCAATGTTAGAGATGTCAATGCTGAGGGATATAGCACACTCTTCTTCTGATATGAGCATCCAGTCATTCTTGCATCAAACACACACAAAAGCTATTTCTCTCTTTCTTAACAACACATCTGTGTCCCCACAGAGAAAGAACACCCCCGACTAGTTCTGTTAGTATAGTCAAACTGCAGAGCGCTCACCTATTCAATCTTTCTCAACAAAATTGCCAGCTTGGTATCAATTTATGTTGGAACTTTGCATAGCTTTGTACTGGCAATGGAACTGAGATTTCACAAACTTCAAATCTGTTTACAAAGGACTCTTGCAGTCAGGAAATCGAGGAAGCCTTTATTCAACCATTCCTTTGTCAGACTTACATCCAGATCCCTTTGGTATAGGGAGCAGGAACCGTTCTGTTACATTAAGGCTAAGTTCTTTCATGGGATGTAGAAATCACTGGCAAGGCCAGCATTCGTTGCCTGTCCCTAAATGCCTTCAAATTGAGCAGCTTACGCAGCTCATCAGAGGGCATTAGGAGTTAACTATATCATTTTGGATCTGGAAAAGAAGGACAAATCAGGTAAGGATGGCAGATTTTCATGCATTAGTGATTCAGATGGCTGCTTGATGATTTGATTTGATTTATTGTTGTCCCATGTACCGAAGTACAGTGAAAAGCTTTGTTCTGCATGCAGTACGGGGAGATCATAACAAACAAGGACATACAGATCTTAGGATGCTTAGACAGAGTGAGGCATACAAGGTTACAGCTGCACAGGAGGTGACAGAACATTATTAGTAATTTTTACAGAATTAGAATTCAGGTTTAAAAGTGTGGAACAGTTGTAAGATTTTTTTAAACTCATTCACAGGATGTGGACATCACTAGCTCTGCCAGCATTTATTGCCCATCCCTAATTGTCCAGAGGGCCGTTTTAAGAGTCAACCACATTAGTGCGAGTCTGGAGTCACATGGAGGCCAGGCCAGGTAAGGATGGCAGCTTCCTTTTCTAAAGGGCATTAGCAAACCAGATGGGTTTTTCCCGACAACTGACAATGGATTCACAGTCATTGTTAGGCTCTTAATTCCAGATTTTGTATTGAATTCAAATTCCACCATCTGCCGTGGCGGGATTCGAACCCGGATCCCCAGGATATTATCTGGGTCTCTGGATTAATAGTATAGAGATCATACCACGAGGCCAATGTCTCCCCAAATGTGAGAATAAGTTCTGCTGTGGAAAGCTCACAAAGAGTTGCCCAGTGGTGGCACTATCTTGAATCCCCTATGACAGTGATAGTTGTGATTATATTCCAAATTTATTTGTCAAACTTAAACACCACCGACTGCAGGATTTGAACCCATGATCCAAGAATCATAGATTCCCTACATGGTGGAAGTAAGCAATTTGGCCCAATGAGTCAACACCGAAGAGCATCCCACCTAGACCCATCCCCAGCCCCCTACTATACCCCTGTAACCCTGCATTGCCCATGGCTAACCTACCTAACCTGCACATCCATGGACACTATGGGGAATTTAGTGTGGCCTATCCACCTAATCTGCATATCTTTGGGCTGTGGGAGGAAACCCACGCAGACATGGAGAGAATGTGCAAATTCCACACAGACAGTCACCTGAGGGTGGAATCCAAACCAGGTCCCTGGCACTGCAAGGCAATAATGCTAACCACTGAGCCACTGTGCCACCCCAGGAGTACCAGCCTTGTTTCCAATTTACAAGCCCAATGACATGAGCACTGTGCCACTCACTCCATGCACTTGGATCAAGTTCCTAACTCTGTTTGGACAAAATATTATACAATACCCCATCTGTCTCGTTTGCTGGATTCCATGTCACTGCTCAAAGAAGTGAGAGAACTGATGTCCTACTTAGTGTTCCACTCAAGCTCCTTGGGATGGTTTACTATATAAGGTGTAATATCAATGCAGACTGTTGTTGAGAGTTAATATTTATGTCTCAACTGATAGAAACAAGGTCAGAAATCACACAGCACTAGGTTATAGTCCAACAGATTTATTTGAAAACACACGCTTTCAGAGCACAGCCCTTCACCTGACGTAGTGGCGATGCTCCAAATGCTTGTGTTTTCAAATAAACCTGTTGGACTATAACCTGGTGTCGTGTGATTTCTGACCTTGTCCAACCCAGTCCAACACCGGCTCCTCCACATTATGACAGAAACAAGTACTGGATTAACTGATCATTTTTTAATTGCTGTTTGCGAAAATCAGCAACCGTTTGCTTACAAACAAGAACCATGTTTCAAGAAGTAATTGTTTGCTTCCAAAAATGCTTTTGGATGTTCCAATGGCATAAAAGACACACAATGTGTTTAGAAACTCCTCCTTGTCTTTGGACAGACTGGTGACCAGACAAATGTAAATTTAGAGTCATGTCTTCCCAAACAAATGGGCAGAAACTTGCTCATGTGAGAATATCCCGCACAGCACAAGGTTATGCTGAAACCCATCAAGAAAAATTATTCAAGGAAACATTAGTCAAGTATAACCTTCCAACCAAAACAAAGAAAAATATATTCAGAAATACTTTGTATCTTTCCAGAGTTCAGGTTTCAAATCTTTCATCAAAGACAAAATAAGAATCCAAAATATATCAAACTTCTCTGCTTTCTCCACGGATGCTGCCTGACCTTCTCAGTCTTTCCAACATCTTACTTTTTTATTTTGTTTTAGATTGCCCGCGTTTGGCTTCTGATGTTTTCTACCTACATTGCAGGAAGTGACGACACTGCAACATACTCGAAATGAATGCTGTGTATGACATTGCGAGTAATGTGCTTTAGAACATTCTCAGGTTCTGAAAGGTGCTGTATAAATTCACACCTGCCTTTCTTTTTAACTGCTGCTTTCACGGAAAAAGGACTGGTGAGCTCAGTTGGCTGGCTGGCAATGCAGAGTAATGCCAACCATCTGAAGTTATGTCAAGGACTTTCCTTCACACCCTCACCCCTCACCAGAGGTGTGTTGACCCTCAGGATAAACCACCGTCAGTTGTATACCTCTAATGATGGTCTGGTAGGACTATGGCCACTTTACCCTTTATACTTATTTTAATCATCCTGTTCAGACATATTACAACAAACATCTCAGGGCAGATGGGATCTGAACCTAGGACCTTCCAGTCTAGAGGTAAGGACACTACCATTGCACCACAGCAGCCCCTCTATCAGAAAGGCTGAACAGCAGCGATGGCAGGATTTGAACTTGCATGGGGAGACAACAATAGATTTTAAATCGATCACCATAACCCCTCAGCCATGACTTCTTTGACCAGGTGTCTTTTTTTGGTCACCTGCTTTTATGGTTCGACATCCAAATTTTTGTTTCGATAATATTCCTGTGAACCACTTTGCAATATTCACAATGTCAGAAGGTGCTATATAGCGTGAATTGTTGTTGTCAGTACTTGGATGTTGCTTCAGCATCTCAAAAGTAAAGCGCACAGCAGCATCGTGTAGACATGGTGCAACGTCTAATGTTGCTGCCTCTACTTAATTAAATACTTCAGAAATGTCTCTTACAAAAATTGCCATTCGTTAGCTGTGCACGCTTCACATGCTGAAGAAAAATCATCTGTGCAATTACTGGGTTAAAAAGACTGATTTGCCGCGCGAGAGGCAACTGAGATCAAGATTTCATCAATTAGAAAGCTGGTCTCATCAAACGTCACCAATCAAACCTCTTGAACTCTATGTCTAAAACTTTGTAGATGAATCCACAAGAGTTCTTACCTTGGAGAAATCCCTCAAATCCAATGCAGGGACAAAGCCCAACAAAATTTCTCTAATTTAAGGTTAGCAACCCTGAGAAGTGTCAAGGCAGACAGTGGGGTCTTACGATGTGTAAAATGCTACATCGAAGGGGTGTGTGGAGCACTCAAATACTGGAGACAAATAGAGCTTGGGGCACCACCGCCTGAGGCCTTCCTGCTGAAGTTAACTGGGGGGGTCCATTCGATTATCAGACCCTCCTAGTGCCTCACTGCATGTGAATATAGTCTTGCATGTGTAACAGGTGCCTTTGGTTTGTTGGGATGAATCAAACTCAAGTATTTTGTTTGGTCCCTGATGTGCTCCTGTACAGAACCAAATTGCGTTTGGACACTGCGTATGCAGGTAGTTCTATTATAACGCGTGCTTCGTTACTGTGAATTGGCTGTAATGTGATTGATGAACAGTGGATGCTGTTTGGATAATGCGAACTTTCTACTGTATAGTAGAGCGATTTTCTGCCGGGTTCTCCCTACAACGTGAGTTTCTATAGCACGAGGTCGCACAAGAACACAGC